TCTACAAATTTAAAGTATTATTTTAGGAAAAGACAAAATAACTAATTTTAATAGTTATTTATGCAACCAGTGCAAAAAGACGCGACGTGAAATTGTCGAGTACGATAAACACTTTTTGCACGAGTTGCATACAATATTTTTTCTACGTTCATGCAAAAACCAAAGAATGTTTTATAGAACTGCCGTTGTATTATCCAAATCATAGTAGCTGTGATCGTGTACCTTTGAGGCATTTATTTACGTTTGTGTTCATAATTTGTAATGACATTTTTAATAAAATACATTTTTTTATGAATTTATTTATTAAATGATTGAAAATAATATAAAATGTGCAATTGTTTTTAAAATGTAACACAGAAAATAAAAATGGACTAAATATTTGGCATTGATTTGAATATTTATGTTTGTCATGATCATAAAACGCTGTAGTAAAATGACAGATGAGTGCAATAAAGTTTTGATTGCACTAGTGCAATAAAAAACCACTTTTTTCACTAACTATAGTTCAATAAAGTTTTGTTTTTTGCATGAACGTAGAAAAATAATTTATGACTTTACTAATTTGTGAAATAAAATAAACTTGAAAAAATATTTCATTTAATTAGTCCCCAGCCCAGATTTGAACTCGGGCCTCTCGCGTGAAATACAGATACCGTATCCTCATTTTCACCTCTACATTTGGAATTTTAGTTCTAATAGTAATTAAATTAGTTTCATATAGGTAGTTTGATTCAAATTTAAGATTTTTTAAAATATGGTCCAAATAAAAATAAATTAAAATTATTTATGGATTCTACACAAAAATTACTCATTTTAAATATTTTAATGTATATTTAATCTCAATACCTAAAAAATATACTGACAATTAGTTTGACAGAATTGCCACTTATTTAAAATGTTTAAAATAATAGTAGTGGGTGTCCAATATATAAACTGTGATTGGTGGATTTCATTTTTTTTGCAGTGTTCTTACTACCTAAAATGGATATGAAATATATTCGTCGAGTTGAACGCAATAGTATATTTTTTCATTTTGTAGTCTGTGCGTAAATAGTAGTTTGTGCAACAAAATTGGATATGTCATATCGCACGAAGACGAAGTTTGAGAACGACGTCGTAGACGGAGTGGTTAATCGTCTGAGTGCAATACGGACAATCCACTCGAGTTATACAGTATATTTTTTCTACGACACACTAACGAAATTCTACACATTTAAAAAAGTATGTTATTAAGACAAAATAAATAATTTTAAAATAATGTATGACTTTTACTAATTTATAAAATAAAATAAACATACAAAAAGATTTAATTTAATTAGGCCCCAGCCCTGATTTAAACTCGGGTCTTTCGCTTGGAGACAAACTTCGTGCCCTCATACCATTGCTACACTTTGCTATTTTAATTCTAATACTTGTAATTAAATTAGTTTCATATGGTTTGATTAAAATTTAAGATTTGTTTGTAAATTTGGACGAAATAAAAATAGAAATGCTATTACTTATCGATTATACATAAGAAATGTTCATTTTTACGTATTGTAACGATAGTCTAATTTATTTTATAGCTTATTTATTTAAAACACACTATTTACCATTTATTTTAGATGTACTAATTAATTTATATAATAATAATAATAATAATAATAATAACTTTATTTAGAATATATAACGGTACATACAATAGTGTATAATTACATATAAAATTGTTTGTAAATAAATAAAGTTGGTAGAGACTCTGGAAGTGTATAAAACACTTGTGTCGAGCTCATAGGAAAAAATTGGGTTCGTTAAATTTATATATATATAAATCAAATAATAATAATTATTCTAAAACTAAAAATATAAAAATATAAAAATGACATTAAAATAATTATATAAATGGAAAAAAAGAATGTGTGAGAGAAAGGTTTACAGTTATTAATCGTCTATAATGTAAAAATTTTAAGATCAATAAGATTGTGGAATTTTTCTCTTGGTAAGTTAATAATGAATTTTTTTAAAAGTTTTTTAAATATGGAAATACTATTAATTTCTTTGATTGTTTCAGGGATTGTATTGTACATAGTCGGAGCCAAGAAGACATATGACTTTTGTGTGATTGTCATTTGCATTTGAGGTACCCTACTATAATTTTTTCTTCGAGTGTCGTAGGTGTGTATTAACTCCACAAAATTAGCGGTTTGGTGGTGCCTAATACATACATTATAATAATATAATTGTCTTATATCTAACATTTTTGTATCTTTATATAGTTTTTCAGTTGAGTATCTAGAGTTTTTACCTAATATAATACTTAGACACTGACTAACAATTCTAATTTATTTATTACAATTTAACTTTTCATTCCAATACTTTGTACTAAACTAAACTGCCCGACAATGAGTCGGGCTATTTATATTAAGTCCAACTCTGCTACTAGAAGTCTCTAGACGGTCCCGAAATTTTCATCTTTGACTCAACGGCACACTCTGCCCGTTCTACACGTTTTTCGAGCCTCAGCGGCATTCCCAGAACATTCCGTCGCCTCGAGCATGAGTCGGGGCCAGCTGAAGGTCGCGCATGCTTTAGACACAGGGTCGGATTAGGAATTTCATGACAGTATATTGAATCTCAATAATTCAAAAATATACTGACAGTTAGTTTGACAAAATTGTTACTTACATAAATGTAAAAAATAATAGTAACTGGGTGACCAAACTATAAACTGATTGGTGGATTTAACTGTTTTGCAGTGTTCTTACTAGGTAGAATGGATATGAAATATATTCGTTTAGTTGAACGCAATGGAATACTTTTTTGTTTTGTAGTATGTGCGTAGATTAGCTAATAACCATGTGGGTATAGGAAAAATCATATCCATGTGGGTGTAGAAAATAGTAGTTTGTGTAACAAGAGTGAACATGTGCCGACTATGTCACAAGAAACCAGAAACGGCCAAACACATACTGTGCGAATGCGAAGCTCTAGATCGCAAAAGACAGGCTCTTTTTGGACAACCCCAGGTTGATCCAACAACGTATAGAACCCACTCACCCAAGGATCTGTACAAACTTGTACAAGGTACAAAGGTGATAGAGTGGGTGCTATGAACTAACATAGGGTAAAACACAATAAACCAATAAATAGGCTTCAGTGTTATTCGGAGACACATAGTCAGACGAGCACAGGAGAGAAAAAAAAACAAGAGTGAATATAAATTAAATGGATTTCATATAGTTTTATTAAAATTTATAATTATTTATTTCTAAATATATATTAAATAAAAATAGAAATGCTATTATTTATCGATTCTACACAAGTATAACTCATTTTACGCAATAGCATATTTCTTCGTTTTGTAGTCTGTACGTAGATATGCTAATATCCATTTGGGTGTAGAAAAAATTGTTTTCTAGTACTAAAAATATATAAAAATAACATTGAGTAAAATGATTTATTATTAGTAAAAGAAGAAATAAAAATAAATCATCTTTATTGACTATTGGTCGGATTTCTACTCGGATTTCTACTTGAATTTCTACTCGGATTTCTACTCGGATTTCTACTCGGTTTTCTACTCGGATTTCTACTGGGATTTCTAAAATCTAAACCTCTAGCGAAACGAGGATCTAAGATCTCGGGTAGTATACAATCTAAATAAAATTTCTTTAGTTTGCTTTCCATATACACCAAAATCTATCATCTTTTTTTATTTTTTCTACAAACATACCTAAAGGTATCACAATAATAAAAAAACAAATATTTCGTTCTGTGAAGTTGCCCCTGAACCTGGTAATAATAACAATTATGATTTCGGTTTAATTGCATTTTGCCATTATCATTAATAATTGCAAATTTTATTATGTTGCAAACCATTGATTTTTCCGTAGTCAGTTTTGAAGCAAGATATTTAATTTCGATAATACTGTCGGTTCCTAATAAACCGTCGGGGCCTAAAAAACCAAATTCAGAATCCTCAAATAAACCACATTTATTGGACATCCGCTTTAAATTTGTGAATATTGCTTTAAAGCTAAAGGTTCTTTTTCTGTTCCATACTATATTAATTTCCCATATATTTTGACGTTTATGCTTAGAAGGGCTGGAACTGAACTGGACTGGAATAAGAGGTGATAGTGTGTGTCTTTTTCTAAGTAATCTTGAACGATATTTTATAGATTTCCGTCGAAATGGAAATATCATTTTCGGCATTTCCGAAAGTTTTCCGATTTTTACGACAAACTATTATAACTCAGCTTACACACAAAAGTTTATATAAACACATTAACTAAATACGAAACGAAAACACCTACACTTGAACTAAAAAGAGTAAAGTTTTTTAATAATTTCATCCTAACCGACTTAAATGACTATCTAAATACTTTTATCCTAATTTTCCGGTACTGCATGCACCGCCAACGTCCGCCGCCTTGTTGCCAAATCAATTAAATTAATATGGATTTGAATCTTGACAGATTTTCTCAGATGTAGTAATTCAAGGTTTTTAAAAAATATACGCGTTAGACAAAAAAGTGCATTGGAAAGAATTAGCTGATTTTTATGTAACAATTCCCGGTAAAGACTCCTTTTTGCAATAATTTTCATAATTTGTATAGAAAAAATTCAAAAATGAGTTTTTCTGAATTCGGGCTCTACAGCGGGGTTCTCTATCATTTGCTTAGTAGGTATACCAAATTTTATAAAAAAATATTTAAAACTGAGAAAGACAACCTTGAAGTCGTTTTAAGCCAGTTTCTAACCATGGATATCGCTCTTAAGATAAAGTTAGATATAGAAATGATTTTAGAAATGAACATTTTTTTATAAGATACAGATAAGGAAAATGTAATTTTAAGCGGTACAAATAGCCTAAAGCTTTTTTTTACTTATAATTGTAATAAACATGAATCACCGTGTCTAATATCTAATCCTCTGTGCGACCTTTCCGTGACATCATCAGATTATCTCGCCTGTCTAATATGCTTGGAATGTAGGCGGTTAGGTTGACACTGAATACTCACCTGGATTTGTAGAGACAGGTAATCGAGTGAACGCCTTTGTTGTAGATTACGTACGACGCCAGAAAACCCGCCATCCCTCCTAATAAGATGACTGTCTTCAGAAGCGAGATTAGAATTTGATAGACAGCGCACGCTATCATGGATACCATGACAAGCAGCAACAGATACTAAAATAAACAATACACATATTATTTAACTAAATTAATGGGGAGCGAAAAAATTATAAAAAGTTGAAAATGAGGAAAGATCTAATTTTAAAAAATCGAAATTAGAACAAATGTTCGAAATCACAATATGTTTGAAAATACTAATGATCCAATTGATCGAAAGTAAATTAGTTGTTTTTTTTTATTTTTCTTCAATTAATGAGAAATATTTTGAAAATATTAATTAGATACTTACATCTATTAAATAATAGTGTTTACAGCCTTTTTGTTCGTTTGTATAATTTAATAAATGACTTGTACAGTTGTACCCGTCGAATGTGGAATTTAGACACTGGATCTCCAATGATAGAGAAAACTGAAAATTAAAATCTTTATTAAAAAAACGCCAAATTTTAAAATTACAGTTCATCAGATTTCTAGAGGCTTTCGACGGCTAGACAGAGAAAACACTACTGACAGGCATCCCGACGGATTTACGCAATGAAAGTACACTCTGCGCATCAAGTATTTCACTATTTCATTCAGACGCAAATGTCAGATGTAAATTTCGCTAAAACATTTCTTTTATTTTCGTTTGTGTTTTTTGCTCATTACAGTTTAATAGAACCTAAGTATGGAGTTTAATAGCAAATTAAGAGGCCGCGTGATTAACAGTCAATCTCGCGAAATAATAGCCAATGTTATAGAGTTTATGAGAAGAGAAGGAAACTTTAATTCACCTTCAATACCATTTAAAAATGTAAATGATCGTGTTGCTGCAGCCACAGGAGTATCTAAAAACACTGTCGTCCACATTTCTGGAGAGAAAAAAAGAATCGATAACCGTGAGATATCGGAATTTTCATCACCAAGAAAAACCATTAAAAAACCAAAAACAGTTAATGATATAGATGAAGCTGCATAAGAATCAAATTTTATTTTTTTATTATTAGATAGCTATTTTTGTTTCTGAGTTGTGTTCATTTACAGGCTCAATTTTTTTCCGTTTCTCCTTTTTGATTTTATATGGGGTTTCAAGTTGTTTTTGACTTATTTCGACGTAAATCACAACAACACACTTTTTTAATAAAGCAAACAAGTGTTACGAGGTATATGTACGTGTAAAGTACAATTACAAAAAATTGATATGAAACCCATAAAACCACCAACAAAAATGTAAAGCTAGCTTCCGTACTAGAACATGGTGTCATTCGTCGAGATAATTTATCGTTTTGTTTAATAGATCAAGAAATGTAAATATTCCCCTGTTATTTTTTATAAAATTATAAGAGAAATAAATTTTTTTCTAAATAGTATAGTTTATTATTTTGTAGAAAAACAAAATTTCGAAAATTTTAGTAATGTTTCAGAAACAACCGTTATTAATAATACAATTTTCCTTAATAAGGTAGAAATAAAATATAAACTATTTCCACGATTTACAAAGGCCTACAAAAAAATTATAGGTATTTTCCGCTATCCTATAAAATTTATAATTTCTGACTCAATTTCAAAAGGTTGAAGGAATTCCAAAACACCTTTTATGGCATAATAATTATTTTTAATTCTACATACTATCTTTAGCTGCTTTTAAAAACGTTCTAAGAAAGTCCAATCAGACCAATTTAATCCCTAAACTATTCCACACTTTTAAAATTTAATTACCTAAAAATATTAAAAACTATTTAAAATAACTTGTTTAGCAGACTGTACAATAGCTATCTTAGTCACACGTAGCGCGTTCTCTGTCTGGGCGTCGAACACCTCTAGAAATTTGATGAACTGTAAATTGAAATTATTAGTATTAATACCAGTTTTAAATTTTTAAAAACCTACCGTTTGGAACATAACTAACGCATAAATACAAGCCGCCATTATGAAACAAAATATTTGAGCGACATTCCTGTTTTTGTGAATGGTCCTCGAAACTAAAAATAAACTGGAGAATCCTCTCTGAAAAACAAAAAAAAACAAAATAAGCAAAATGTGACTACAATATAAAGTAGGGTTGATAATTATATTTGTTATGAGTTTTGGATGAATAAATGAATTTATTACTGTGACGAAATCATAGACATAACGTTGTTTATTTTTCCTTATTTTGTAAAAATGACACAAATAATTCATTATTTTACATAAATTGTCTTAAGACATTAAAGCATTAAATATTTTAATAACCTAAATCTTAAGAAGTATCGATAGGCAATAGACACACTTTATTAACTGCACGTTTGTAAAGCCCATCTGCAGTTTTAACTGAAACGACTCAAACTATCTTGCCAGTGCCTGGATGCAAATTCACAATTCTACTCATTTTCCAATGGATAGGAAGGAGGGAGATTATCTTCTTTTGTTGAAGATTTGGTGTTTGGGATTTCCACTTGGATCGATTTTGAAGATGAGTGAAATATTCAGAAGCTTATCTAGGTTTTAAGTCTTATATAAATTCATATACTAGAGCAGTGGTCGCCAACCTCTCAATATGTTGAGCTACTTTGTTAATTTTGAAATAAACAGCGAGCTACCCACACGAAAGCCACGTAACGCAACGTAAATGAAATAATCCACAGTTAATTTATCATTATATGTATTTATTTTACTATTTAACTGGTAATACATAATACGTAGGTACTAATAATAAACTAATAACAAAATAACTAATATTACTATTACGTACTTGTTCATAGCTACATTCCTACCTACCAAACGAAGATGTTTGAAAAATAAACACAAACTTTTATCCAGCCACAACGGCATGTCACGCAAGATTTAAAAATAGTTAATAATAACAACAAAAAAAGTAACGCACTATCATGAACATAAACATTGAAAAATAAAAAAGCACGTTCAATGAGAAGGCTGACACTAAGACTCATCGATAATTTTTTTAATGTTTGCAGTATAATTTGATACAGCCATTCGAATACAATTATCCAAATGTTCATCTGTAAGTCGATTGCGATATTTGTTCTTAATAAACTTCATATTGGAAAAAGAATATTCACACAAATAGGTTAAACTGAATAATGCTTTCACTTTCAAGGCAACACGGCATAGAACCGAATATTTGTCTTTACTTACAATAGGCCAGATACATTTGATACTTGAGACTAACGATTTTAAGGCTAAATCATTTTGAAACTCAATTACTTCCATTTCTGTTGCAGCGATGTCTTCGCCAAAGTTCTGCATAACACAAGTTGCAAACTATTGGATATCAATTTCTATAAAGGGTGAAACAACAAACTGCGCTACTAAAGCCATTTCGTTGAAATCCTTAAAACGATTTTTGAAGTTATTCTTCAGGGTAGAAACTATTTCTACATGATATTTGCTATCATAGGGTTCTAATGGATTTTGAGATATTTTTTCTGAAAGAATAGGAAAATGCCTGGCATCGCTGTTAATTAGGTTTTGTTCCCAAAATGATAAATGATAAATGCTTTTATATCAGAAATCATTTCCGCTAGTTCTTTGTCTCTCCCCTGAAGCTGCAAATTAAGTTCGTTTAATTTCTCTGTAATGTCCACGAGAAAACCAAAATCTCTAAGCCAGATTGAATTTTCTAGTTCCGGAGTCGGTTCATCGCGTTGTTTGAAAAATTGAACTATGCCAGATAGGACATCATTAAAACGTTTCAGCACCCGTTCTCTACTTAACCATCGGACTTCAGAGTGTAGGAGTAGGTTCCCGTGTTGACAGTCAACTTCATCGGCCAAGGTTTTGAATAATCTTCTTTGTAACGCTTGAGCTCTAATCTTGTTCACAATTTTTACCATCAGTTTTATAACGTTGTTTAGTTTAAGGAAATTTTCACATAATGCTTGCTGATGGATAATGCAGTGGTAACAGAGAAATTGCGGAAAAGTTTCATCTTTACGACATAACGCCACCAGACCCTTATCACAACCCACCATAGCTGGAGCGCCATTGGTTGTCAAGCCTACCATTTTCGATATTGGAATTTTCTCGGAAGAAATAATATTTTTTAAATGAGAAAACAACTCCTGTCCAGTAGTGTGTCCTTTCAGTGGAATAAACTTCAAAAGATCTTCTTTAATCGTAAAATCACTAAAAACCATCCTGACGAACACGGCCATCTGGGCAGTGTCAACGACATCTGTTGATTCATCCAGTTGAAGTGAAAAATAAACACAGTTATCTAAGTCAGTTCTTAACTGTAAAAAATATCATTACTCATTACTTCTACACGTCTCATCACTGTATTAGCAGAAAGTTGCATAGATTTTATAGCTGAAACTATCTCGTCTTTATTTCTAAAGTTGGCAAATAACGAATCAGCAGTTTCTAAAAACACCTGTTTTATCATTTCCCCGTCTCCATAAGGTTTCTTTTTTTGTGCAATTATCTGGGACACACGGTACGATGCTTCAGTTGCAGCCTTATTTTTGTCGACTGTTCTTAAAAATATTGATTGTTTTCCAATTAACTGCCTTTTTAACTGTTTCAGTTTCTCCTTTCTGACGGCAGAATATAATGGGAATGATTTTTCAAAATTAAAATGTACAGTTTTATGATAATATGATAATATTTCCTTTTTTAGCAACGGAGACCGAAGTATTACATAACAAACACACATTTTTATCTTTAACTTCTATAAAAAAGTATGGTTCTTCCCATTCCGAATAAAAGTGGTATGTCTTTACCTTCTTACAACTGCTTGCCATATTATTATTTTTTGTTGTTCCCTACTAGTAGAACTAGTAGAACGGCTAATGAAAAGCCGTCTTTTGCCCTTTCTTTTCAAGCATAACATCCTCACAGCTCATCAGTATGGCTTTCTACCTAAAAAATGCACTAGCGACGCAATGTTTTCCGTTCTTAATGAAATATACACATCACTTAATGATAAACTTTTCACCGCTTCAGTATTTTGTGACTTTGATGATATTTTAATTAATAAGTTACAAATTTATGGCATACGGGGTTCTCCTTTACAATGGTTTAAAACTTACCTAGAAAATAGAAATCAACAGGTGCGGGCGAATGGTGAGGATTCTACAAATGTAGCAATAAGCAGTGGAGTACCTCAAGGATCAGTATTAGGTCCAATTTTGTTTTTATTATTCATCAACGACATCACAGACTTAAGAATAAGTGGTAGAATTACTTTATTTGCTGATGACACCAGTGTAACCTGGAATAATTCTAACATGCAGACATTACAATCTATCATAAGTGAAGATCTAGTGACTATTAAGTCCTGGTCTGATTCGAATGGACTTTGTTTCAACACCAGTAAAACTGTAGCATTGTCTTACAGAGGTACTTTACAACCTATAACTTTAAACAATAATCTGATCCAAACGGTGACTTCAATCAAGTTTTTAGGTCTTTATATAGACGATTCTCTAAAATGGTCTGCTCATATAGATACCTTAGCAAAAAAATTATCCTCCACATGTTTTGCCATTAAATCGGTTTCTAAAGAGCTGACTCCTTCTACTGCATTAATAACCTACTTTTCCTTATTCGAATCTCACCTTCGCTATGGTTTACCTTTCTGGGGTTCTTGTAGCTTATACCTTTTCGAATCTATTTTTAAACTGCAAAAAAGAGCAATCCGCTATGTATTTGGTTTAAGTAGATGGACACATTGCGAAAATTACTTCAAAAATTTCAAAATTCTAACCCTTCCTGCTCTATTTATTTTCGAATCCGTCTGCTTAGTTCGCAAGCACATTCAAAATTTATCCGAAAGACCGACTCGTAGATATCCTACAAGAAATTTAGAGACTGATGTTTATTTAACAATGCCCACTTCTGACCTATTAAAACATTCCATTACCTACAATGCCAAAAAATTGTATAATAACCTTCCGATGCAATTAAAATCCATAAATACATACGATAAGTTCCGAAGACTGGCTAAAGCTTTTCTTCTAGAAAGACCATATTACACAGTAGCAGAATTTTATAACGTACCTTAGACATTTGAGTTCCACATACAATGGCATTAATTAAATAATTAAATATTAAAGTTTAAATTTAAATTTAAAAATTAAATTAGAATAATTATAATGACGGATATTGCATATACATTGCAATTGTTATTCCTATTTTGTCTGTTTGTTTCTGTTTGTTTTTTCTGCTGTTTAGTTATTTTTATAATATGTTTAGTATTTAAGTTACACGCTTTGTCTATAAAATTTTTGTAAATTTTTTTACGACAATAAAGCATATCTCTCTCTCTCTCTCTCTCTCTCTCTCTCTCTCTCACTAACCCAACTGCTGGACGTTGGTTACGCGTTCAGTTTTAAACTAGGCGCAATGTCGCCGCGCCGTGCGTATTTATCCTGTTCAAAGCAATCCTGATCGTTCCCGAACACTAACGCGCTGGTCCGGCTGGTCGGTTTTCGCCGATTCTAGCTTGATGGCGTCAGCGGCAGATCGCTCACCGCAACGTTGCCGCTGTTTATGTTTAATATTATGACAATTAGATTTTTTTGTGGAATTTTCGGAAGCTTCTCTGATTTTTGCAGTTTGTATTTTTTAAATTAAAATCGTTGTGAGAGCTACCAGAATTGCCTCCTGAGCTACCGGTAGCTCGCGATCGTCAGGTTGACGACCATTGTACTAGAGTAACTCGAGAATCCAGCTCCTGTGTATAGACCATATTTTTATGAGAAAAAATTTAGAAATAATCTAGCACAAGATGCTTTTGTAATAGAGATATCATGGATCATTTTCCAATATTCTTAAATATCCATATAAAAAATGGTAACAATACTGTAAACAATAATATAGACAAAAAAGTTTAATAAAATGGGGAAATGTTTTTGCTCAAAATGACCCAGAATTCGCTTATCAAACCTTTATTGATACCTTTAAGACCATATACGATGGTTGCACTCACGCCAAATACCAATGTCTTGATTGAATTGTGAATGAATGTATTTTGCGCAGATATGCCTATTTCGGCTCGTTGAAAAAAAAAAAAACTATGAATGAATGTGTTTATAATCTAAGGTTTCAACCTAAATTGTATGTTGAAAAAGAAAAAAATATATCCTTTTCTGTATTTGATCACAGAATAACCTTTGGTCAATTTTACGACGATAAATAATTGTGTAATTTTTACAAAATAACGAAAAATAAACTCAACATAAAGCAAAATCAGTCAATACTAGTCAGTTTAGTCTTGTTATGTTTTCTAGAAATCTCAGGTACATTGTACTCATAACCGTGGAATATTCTGGACCAGTATGTCGATTTTGTCACTTTGATAGAATCATTGGTGATGATTAGAGGGCGGAATATATGCATCAAAATATGCGCATATATATGCATCGTTTTTACCAAAAATATGCAGTTATTTTGTCCAATTATGCCTAAATATGCAAATTCATATTTGTTAAAAATACTTAAAAAAAAAGTAGGGGGTGGGTAGCTCAGTGGTTAGTGCGTTGGCCTGTGGACTTAAGGGTTCCGGGTTCAAATTCCAGCCGGGACGCGATTTTTTAAATTAATTAATTTATTTAAAAATTAATTCTGATGCCTAGCGAATATTTCCACTTGACCATTCACTGTTGGGTTCTAATTAACATTGCTGTTCCTAATTTGGTACGCTATTAAAGCCATTACACGAAAAAAAAAAAACAAAAGAAAATATGTAATATAAAAATTTATTTAAAACAAACGAAGCTCAAAAACTAGTAGAAGTTAAGTATAGAATAGTATAAAAATATTAAATAGTAATATTATAATAGGAGTTCATAATTAAATATTTTTCGAAATTTTCTATTAAAAATTTTTGTCTTCTGTCTGTAAAAATATGTTTTGATATAGAAAAGGTCCTTTCAACATCTACTGAAGTAATAGGACAATACCGTAATTTTGGAAGTAATGTACAGGGCCAACGTAAAACTTCTTTGGAAAATTTAACCTCAAAAATGTTTTTCACTTCCCTTATTTCATTGAACCCTTCATTTTTTAATAAAGTTGTATTTAATTTTTTTCTAATCTTAAGGCCTTTGTCACCAGGAACATTGTTACATTTATCGGAAACTGTTGCAATAAAATTTGTTGATTCGATTAAACTTAAATTTTTCTTTTCCAATGAAGTTATTACATCAGGTAAAAAACTAAAATTAAGCTTTATAAACACAAGTTGCTTAGGCACAAGGGGATTTTTTAACAATTCTTTACTTTGCACTACATATTGTGAATTGTCTTCTATATCCAAAATTAAATCCTTAATTGCTTCAAAATTTTCTGCATAGAATATAGCTGCTTTAATCCATGTCCCCTATCGCGTAATTACGGGTTCCGGGGGCAAACACACCCCTACCATTCTCTTTTTATACAACTGCACTCTTAAAGGGGCTTTTAAAAATATTTTTTTCACATTCGAAATTAGCTTGTTAACCAAGGGATATTCTGTTCTCACAGTTTCTGCAACTAAGTTTATTCCATGCAGAAGACAAGTAACGTGGGCCATATTTGGATAAAATATTTTTAAGTTTTGCCCTACTTTTATCATATATGGTGCTGCGTCAGACAAAAACACTAAGAACTTCTCTGAGGGAATTTGATTTGGTAAAAAAAATTCTGCTAGAGATTGTTGAATAAATCGGGTAACAGTTGTATTGTTAGTTTTTTCTAACTGTTTTGATGCAATTAAATATGATGTACCTGGTTCATTTTCTTTTAAGGCTCCAATCATAAGATGTACCATATATCTTCCACAAGCATCTGTGCTTTCATCAACAATGATGTAAAAATTGCTATCATCCAGTAAAACTTCAATTTCTTCTATTACATTTATCTATATAGCATGTACATTTTTTTTTCTGAGTGCAGATTCGTCAGGAATGGTTTGATTGCAATATTTTTGTAAAAATTTTCTTAGATGTAGGTTTTGTAACTTCTTTAATGGAATATTTGCCGCAACAAGAGCTTTGCACAAGTCCTGATTAAATACCTCCTTGTCACTTTTTGTTTTGTCGGCGTTTTAAAATGACCTCACAACGCATTGTTGAACCGGTTGTGATTTCATTTTTTGCAAAATTTGGCTTTATGCAATGATGTTTTCACGTGTTGAACCACTTTGAACTTTTTTATATATGCATTTTGCATATATTCCGCTCCCTAGTGATGATTTATATAGAAAATATTTGTTTAGAAAAAGTAAACTTACCCTTTGCTTAATACTATCCATATATACTAACATTGGGATGCAAACTAGAAGACAAAAAATAGGAACTGAACACAGCAAGGCGGTACCATTTCTGAAAAATTAAAAAAACGATTTATAACATTGGAAATTTTGTACGTGAATATACAGGGTGATCTTTAAATAATTATACTTAGATGAAATTTTAAAATTTATTTTAAAGTATCTCCAAAATTAAGACAGCTTTTATTAACTAAAATATGTCAAAGTGACAACAATGTATGTTGAATGTTTATTACACAGATGAATATACAGCATGTCCTACAACTTTAACGTTTTTAGAGATTAAAAATACAAAATTTTCAAATTGATGATTTTTGGTTATAAAAAAACATAATTTCGTATTAGTATGGGGTGCAATATAATTCACATTGTGGCTTAAATACACATTTAAATTTAGTTTTATTAAAAAAATATTTCAAAAATATACATAGATACTTTAAAAATCAACTATATAATTCTTACTAAATTTATTGCGTGAAATACGTAGAGACGTCTTTGATATGTAGAGCTTGGAAACATTAAAGTAGTAGGCGGACATCAATAATTATTTTGACAGTTAAACCTTCTTGTTCTAGTAATTTATAACTACTTTCATAGTTTTTTATTTAATAGTTTTGATAATTAATAACAAAAAGCAAAAAATACTGAGACTGTAAAAAATTACATAAATTTAAAATGTAATGAATGAAAAGGAAAATATATTAGCTAAAAAATGTACAATTTTAAAATATTTCGACCATAAAAATCTGAATTCTTACATTATTAAATAATTAGGTATGTCATAACAATTTTAACGTAAATTTATAATTTAAACCCTACTCCGGTAATGCAAACATGCATTATCCAATTTTAGAGGGTAATTATTAACGAATGATCCTCTAATTATAATCAACGTGTTCGTTGCTGATTTAACATTGATAAAAATACATTTTCAATTAGACCCGACCTTACCACCATGTTACCACAGCGCCAGTAATCGAATAATAATTCAAAATCCGTTTAATTTGTTTTGTTTTAAAAGAGGAAATATTCTGGCAGTTTACTGGATGGTAAAAGGGGCTTAAATTAACGTTGTAACGTAACGTCCAGTTGTCTTGCTAGGATTATTATTTTTTTCATACAAACATATAAAAATAAAAACCCCATCAACTGTGGTGTTTATTTCCCATCAAATAATAGACATGTGTCTTAAATTCGTTCTGGGTCTTATATAGACCGAGGTGGCAGTGAACGTGTTAATAAATTTCAATAACTAACCATAAGACATACTTTTGCTATGTTATAGTTTATTTGAAAATCGTCGTCGTCTGAAAAACTTACAATATTTCCATCTGTATTTAAACGACAAATTATTTAAAATATAATTAAACAAGATAGGACCTAAGGCAGTATCTTGAGGCATGCGATATGCTACTTATTTCCTTACTTGAAATATTATTAATTCTATTTGTGTTCGTTTTTGTAAATAACTTTGTAATAAATTATATAGGGTGCATCACATTCATAATATAAACTTCTATTATACGAAAAAAACGGCACATGATATAGTTATAGTCTATTTTTATGTATGAGAGAGTAATAAAACAGCATTTCTAATGCAAAACTTAGTACGGTCATTTTAAATATTTTTACAGAATAATCTAAATATTTCCTAAAATTGTAATAAATGTACCTGAGCTATTACAAGGTTTGGGTCTTTTATTGGTCCTTTATAAACATAAGCTATACAGAACAATAAAAAAAGGTTTGGACAGGCCAAAAGCCCTGTGTATTAAAGATTACATAGCCGTATCTTAAGATTATTTTCAATAAGTACCTATTTGCCAATTTTGTTTTATTTTAATTCCAAGAATTTCTTACAGTAATCGAATTATAAGTAGATAAATACATTCCCAACAAATTTTACCGAAAATGCGATTATAGGTTTTCCATTTAGTAAGGAGGTCCCAGTTGTGTATTCTTGACAGTTTACTAAATGTCGTTTAGTTGCAACTTGCAAGGTACAGTGTGAATTCTAGTGTGATCATGGAAAATTTGGAAGGGCCGCGTAAACGACAAAAAATCGGTCCTTTAACAGTTAATGAAAAAACATTAATATTTAATTGTTTTAAATCATTTACAGACAAACATTTATGTAAAAGTGTTGATGACACAGTGGAATTAGTTAGTAGTACGCTTGGTGTTGGGAAATCTATGATTTACAGAGTTGTTAAAGAAGAGAAATGTGGCGAGTTTCAAACAGCACGTAAAGCTCCAGGAAAACCAAAATTTCAATTAGAAAATCTTTTGAAAGAAAGACTTCGAAGGAAAGTGCATGCGTTCTTCTTTAGAAAAGAATTTCCGACAGTAGACAAAGTTCTTGTCACGGTTCGAGATGATAAGGATTACCATGAAATGAGTCGAAGCACACTATGGAAACTTTTAAAAGAAATAGGTTTTCTATGGAAAAAGCATTCCATAAAGTATTTTAATAGAAAGAAGCGATATTGTAGTATGGAGAAGAAATTACCTAAGGACTATAAAAGAAATGAGAAACTAAAGAAGAAATATATTTTATTTAGATGAAACATGGATCAACGAGGGACATAAATCAAATAAATTTTGGCAAGATGAAACTGTTACAAGTCGAAGACAGGCTTCTTTAAATAATTTATCTACTGGTTTAAATCCACCATCAGGAAAGGGGCGCAGACTAATAATAGTATACATCGGTAGTTCAAACGGTTTTGTTAAAGGTGGTTTATTGACTTTTGAATCTACTCGTACCGGTGACTACCATGCTGATGTCTTTAAAGAGTGGTTCGAGCAAATTATAGATCTTCTTCCTCAGAACTGTATAATAGTAATGGATAATGCAAGTTATCACTCGAGACTTATAGAAAAAATGCCCACAACCAAGTGGTTAAAAAAAGATTTACAGAATTGGCTAAATTCAAAGAATATTAAGTTTCATCCCGGTTCTGTGAGAAAAGAACTGTATCATTTGTGTTACCTTCATAAAGAGAAATTCAAAAAATATGAAATTGATGAAATTGCAAAAAATCGTGGGATGGCGGTGGTTAGATCACCACCATATCATTGCGAAGTAAACCCGATTGAACTGATATGGGCACAGATAAAGGGAGAAGTTTCAAGAAAAAATAATTCTTTTAAAATTATTGATGTTAAACAGTTGTTTTTGGAGGCTGTAAATAATGTGAAGCCTGAAAACTGGGAAAAGGCAGTAAATCATATGATTAAAGAAGAAGAAAAAATGTGGAAGTTGGACAATATTACTGATGAAATGATCGAGCCACTCATTGTAAATATTGGTTGCGACAGTTCATCTTCTGATTTGGATTTGTAGGTAAGAAGTAGTTTTTATATTAAAATTATTATTTATGAACGTAACGTTGTTTAAAAGTCAAAGTTTAAACCCTTATACCTACATAACCCGTTTGACACAATGTTCTTAACATACGTTGTGGAAAAATAAAACATTTTAGAAAAAATTGCACTTTTTTACCTTCAGCTGTTTAGAAGTTATAAGAAGGTTAATTAGGTGAAAATATAAGTGTATACTCGAGGAATAACTTCAAAAAATATTTTAACTGTCTACTAAAAGAAGTGAGTAGTACGCCTATGGATTACGAACGCTTTATTATTTTAATACTCTCATACATAAAAATAGACTATACTAAATAATTTATTTACTTATACCGGGTGTTCAAATTAAAGTGTAACAGCTAAATACCGCCTTTTATAAAAGAAACGTTTCAGTCGAAAGTTTTATAGTTTTGTGGGGAAAAAATTTTGGCTAAAAATGTTTTTTATAGCTAACCATAATATGGCCAACTTTTTTTTCGCACAACAAAATTTTCAAGTATTAACACATAAAACATCCAAATTATTAACAAATTTTAATCACTAAAAGTATAAACCAATTTTAGAAACTATTTATCATAGGATGATGAGTCATCCATAGTACAATATGGCTACCACTTTTGTCAGATCGATTAGATTAACGCGGACATGACTTGCTCCTTCCTGACTATATATGTTCTAAGATTAAAATAGTATATTAGATATTAGGTTAGGGCATTTTCTTAAAATTTAATAATAAATATACAGACAACCAAATTTATATGATATATTAAAAAAAATCTTTCGTTTTTGGAAATACGGAATGATTTCATGTAAATTTGTTTGTTTGCCTTTATTGCTCTTTTTAAGTAATGGTATAACTTTCGAGTATCTAAAACAATCTGGAAAGACTCCAGTACTAAATATACCATTTATCATATTGGTAAAAAAAATCAGTAATTTGTTTTATAATTTTAACGTTTTGAACATAAACATCAAGAGTATTAGAGTTTTTAAAGAATTTTATTGTATCCAAAACTTCATTTTGTGTGACCCATATATGGGCATTTTGTAGAGTCAATTTCGTACCGATTATTTACTTTTATTTGCCAAAGTACTAGTAGGACATTTTTGTTATTTTTAAATTGTAAACAGTCGGCTGTAGTAGTGGTATCCCCCACTCAGGTTTACCGAAAAGCATAAATTCAATCACATCTGGAAATTACGCTCTCTTGATGGCCGACCACCGTAAGCCTCTTGATTGCTGATAGCCAAAAACCATTCGTCCTTCTACAGTGCCTAGTGAAATACTCCGTGAGTGCCGTGATTTCGAAAGATTATTGAATAACCCCGTTTATTTTCTAAGGTAGGACGCATATTATTTTTTTTATTTACAATTAATTTGGGACACCCGTCCGACAAGTGAAAAAATTTTGATTCATGCCCAGCATTTTTCATTTTATCCCTTAGTGGGAAACCGTTAGCAATTTTTTTTATAAGAGGCACCCAGTATTTTTCATGTAAGTTTCTCTTTTATTTTATTTATTCACTCAATTATATTTGAATCATTCCGTTTCCCGTCAACAATTTATTATTGAACGAAGCCCAACGTTTTTTGTAAAATTAAATTCACACACGCTCTCAATCGACTTTGGGCAAATCTCAAAATAATTTTTACGTTAACCATCGCATTTTTGTCCCAAACACCGTGCTGAAAATTATCATTTTCATTCAATAATTGCCAGAGCGTTGATCCGTCTCGTCTAAGGTCCGAAAACTTTGATTTCATTTACTTGCTTGCATTTGATTACTGTCATATTTAAATTGTTTTCGAGCGTATTAATTTATTTTTAATAAATTTTCCGTATATAAGAAGTTTCATAATTGCCGGACCGCTTGGCCTCCTGTGCTAGCGAACCGTAAATATTTTCCCGTACTAGTAAAAGGTAATACGAACTTTTAATTTCCTTAGTACCTAACAAGGTAATAAAGTAAATTGGATTTAAATCCAGGGGCACTCGCACCCTTCATCCATTTTCGCGTTAATCAGGGGGTGATAGCGGTATTCGCTTGCTTCCCCCCGTCGATAATCAGAGCTGTTTTAGACCCTAGTCATTATAACAGCGCGTGGAAAGGGTTTCTCTCTTGTAGAAGCTATGGACTACCAGATGTCTACATGAGAGAGACTTTAAACCGTTAATATTTAATTCGTTTTCATTGGTAATAATTTATTTTTAATAAATTTTCCACATATAAGGAGCCGTTAATATTTAATTAGTTTTCATTAGTAATAATTTATTTTTAATACATTTTCCGCATATAGGGAGCCGTTCATATTTAATTACCGTTGTATTATTTTTTTTGTAAATATGTATTTTATTACCTATTCCTGTGTTTCTCTTATTGCTGGTTTTTAACCGTTCTCTATCAGGGTACCGTAGGTTACGAGGTGTAAAGGAGATAAGTGTTTTATTTTTATTTATTTTAGTATAGTGGCTACCTAGCAGTGACCGCCTGGAATTATTTTTACCTCCACTGAGTTCACCTTGAGTACACTCTGGTGTACCCCAGGGTCGCAGAACAATCTGCGATACCAAAACTGGCGCCTGAGCAACCCCTATTCGGGAATAACCTTCATAGCGCCACACAGACTCGCTGATTCACTGTAGGTGAACCAGAAGCCTGTCACAGTACCTTCTTCTTTAAGATTGAAGTCTTTATTTTCTACCAATTCTTTGCAAAATAAAGTACCTCTTGTTTAATTGTGTCAGGTGTAGCTTTGTTTTTACATATGGCAGATGACAGATCGCCTTCATAACACTTTCTAAGCATAGAACATCCTTGTGGATCTAACACACTAAAGGAAGATGGATCAAAGCAATGTGTGTCAAACTTGTAGTGCAGGTGTCAATAATAATAAGAAAATTGTTTCAACTAAACCTTGTTTGGGTTTTGAATGACTTTATGTTGATTGGTTCAGCAAAAAGAGAAACTGATTTGTATTTCAGTGATATAATCTATCAACCCTCTTTTTTGTTCAAAAGAGGTATGCTAACATAGCCAGTCCATCCCTGACTATATTTAATCTCTCTTGAAATACTATCTTTAAGCCTTTACATCAGAAATGTTATATATGTTTGTATTCTCTGAATTTCTGTGTTAAATAAATAAATTAAAATGCTTCCCACTGTTTATTGTTTGGTGTTCAAACAGAGTTAAACGAACACACATGGTTTACCTTCACGGTTGTAACTAGATAACTTTCGAATATACAAAATATCTAAAGGGCACAAAACAAAAATAATTGTATCGTTTAAACGGATGCATAATATTGTAAGCGAGACTTTTGATGTAGGTGTAAATTGTTTTATACATTTAGAATTTTTAGTAGTATAAACAGTAGATCTTGCTAATAAGTTATTTATATAATTTTATTATTTTCATTTTTTGCATTAAATTTAAGAAAATGAGTTAAAAATTAAAGCATATTTACTATTTTTGCATAACTACCTATATATGTATTTAGGTATTAGTTATTAGGTATTAGGTATTAGGTATTAGGTATTAGGTATTAGGTATTAGGTATTAGGTATTAGGTATTAGGTATTGGGTATTAGGTATTGGGTACTAGGTATTAGGTATTATGTATTAGGTACTAGGTATTAGGTATTAGGTATTAGGTATTAGGTATTAGGTATTAGGTATTAGGTATTAGGTATTAGGTATTAGGTATTAGGTATTAGGTATTAGGTATTAGGTATTAGGTATTAGGTATTAGGTATTAGGTATTAGGTATTAGGTATTAGGTATTAGGTATTAGGTATTAGGTATTAGGTATTAGGTATTAGTTATTAGGTATTAGGTATTAGGTATTAGGTATTAAATTAAGTACCCTAAAAATTGTTAAATATTTACATAACTAAATTTTTTGTTAAATTAAAACAAAAAAACTTACCTTCTGAATACCGCTAATTGTACTAAAATAATTGTGACAAAACACAACGTTGAACAAAAAAAATACATAGTGAGCATTCTGTCCTTTTCTAATAGGTACTGAAAAAAAAAAGAATAAACTGTTGGTATAAAATAATTACACACGGTTACACATTTCATATTATTGAATAGAGATAATTTTTAAATATTGATTTAAATAGATACCTTGGCCTCTTTGGTGGGGTCTCTAAAATTAAGTAAAAATGTGCGACAATGTTCCGTCCTTAACCTATCAATACTTCTGGCGTCTATAGCTTTCATCAGGTACTCATTGACTTCGTCTTCGGGATTCTTTTCTCGTTCCACTGGCTCACCAAAACCAAGTCTAAAATAAACAAAAATACAGGATTGACATTTACCATCGAACATCTCGTACATCCGGTGCAACAACGTCGTAAGTGCAAAAATCTATTTTTTACAAGGAATCCATTTGAAAGTTTTGCTCGTCATAAACTGAAATATATTAAAAATCAAATGATTGAATAATTACCAGATGTAGAAGCAAATTAGGCGTATTTTGTGACTAAAAAGACACTTTCTAATATTTTTGCACTTATGACGTTGTTGCACCGGATGTACGATCTTACAAGTGCGTATGTATACTACAGAGTCGGTACTAGGGTAAGCAGGAAAGAAACAGTATCAGCGATGCCGGCCTATACGGCTTAGGCTTTTCTTTCCTGCTTGCTCTAGTGCTAATTCTTTGTAGATTTCACACGCACTTGAGCATTGCGTATTGGAATAAATGTAGATTCTTGCAATAATATCTTATAACATTGTATTAATGTCGATCAAACCATTAATCATTAATATTTTCCCTTTTATACAGTAACCAACAAAGAAAAAGTATCTACTGTTGAGTTTTTATATTAGGGAAAACCATCATTAATAAAAGTGATATTAAAAACCAATGAAAATTGAAGAAACCCACGAATATATACAGAAGAAGATATAGAAAAGAATATGTTTGAAATTTTGGTCCAAGGTAACAAAAATCAAAAATTTTGTTTTCAAATTATGCCTTTTTTTAATGATGCGTTGATGATATAAGTTATTTATATATTACTCTTAAAGTAATTTGAAATATTTAATGAAAAGGTACGATCTTTAAAAAGCTTCACTTGGAAATGATTTTGGAACAAACCAAGTAGCACCAAACGGTTTTATTCGGTACTTCAAGGTTGCTTAAAAACTGTGAAATAAAACTGCAATTAAAACAAATTGGTTTTAAAAGGAGCCTTAGGGTTGTACATAATAAAACCAAACAACCTGCAAGTCCTTCATAAAACTAAATAGTTTTAAAGTTAATTAAAACTAAACTTTAACTTTAAAACCAGTATCTTCTTATTTACCACATTAAAACCATTTTAAAACTTAAATAAACCCAAAATGTTTTTATGGTGCTACTTGGGAAGTGATTTCGGGAAATATCTAAGCACCCTGTATACAAAAACAATAAATAAATGTTGAAAATGAATATAAATGACATTATTTTTACTACAAATTTATAAAAAAAATAAAAGGTATTGTTTAGTGATAAAATTTTTGTAAAAAAACTACTAACTACACCCTATAATCCCTGTAACATTTTTATTCTTACTTTGAACCATGTCCGTGTTGAGATCCATGTCCCATTATTCTCATTTCTTTTGCAATGTTGCCATTCATCGGATGGCTTTGGTATGGGACGATAGTATCCTGGAACAAGGAAAAATAGCTTCTATTACTATATACTATTATATCGAATATATTGAGCACGACTCATTAAATTAAATAGAAGTTAGAACATGAAATAAAGATAAAAATTTTCCATACACATTTTATTTGAAATTTCTTCATTACTAAGAAAAATGTATCTATTACGGTCCATTTTAGAAAAATAATGTGTATGAAAAAAAATATAGAAAATAACATTCAATGTATTTTCTTTTCCAATGATGAATAACAAAAATATATCTTAAAGTTAAAATTGTACCCTTAGAAATAAGACGAGTATTGCATAATTGAATAATAAAGATACAAGAACCATTGGATGGTAAATATGAGTCAAATTAGGGTATTTTATTAAGAAAACTCATCAGCATTAAGACGTATGGTAATAAAATATAATTTTCCATCAAAAAATAATATAAATAGCGCAGAAGTTATAAGGGATCTAAATGAGACCAATGTGTAATACTAGAAGGAAGTGAAAAGGCGCCTAGTTATATTTGTTAATTAAAACGAATTGTGACTACTTTCACATTTCGAATTGGTTATGTCAGAAGTAAATAATAGGTAAATAACTGGCCCCAGGACACTTCATTGAGGTACTCCTTCTTTAATTTCTTGTTTTACTTTGAAGGTTCTATCCATGTTGTAGGATTTTAAGTTGTAATAGTATTGCTTGAGTATACGATTCTGCTTTTCATACTTTATGAAAAGCCTTAGTTAGGTCTATAGTCTATTTTTATGTATGAGAGAGTAATAAAACAGCATTTTTAATGCAAAACTTAGTACGGTCATTTTAAATAGTTTTACAGAATATTCTAAATATTTCCTAAAATTGTAATAAATGTACCTGAGCTATTACACGTTTTGGGTCTTTTATTGGTCCTTTATAAACATAAGCTGTACAGAACAATAGAAAAAGGTTTGGACAGGCCAAAAGCCCTGTGTATTAAAGATTACATAGCCGTATCTTAAGATTATTTTTAATAAGTACCTATTTACCAATTTTGTTTTATTTTAATTCCAAGAATTTCTTACAGTAATTGAATTATAAGTAGATAAATACCTTCCCAACAAATTTCACCGAAAATGCGATTATAGGTTTTCCATTTAGTAAGGAGGTCCAAGTTGTGTATTCTTGACAGTTTACTAAATGTCGTTTAGTTGCAACTTGCAAGGTGCAGTGTGAATTCTAGTGTGATCATGAAAAATTTGGAAGGGCCGCGTAAACGACAAAAAATCGGTCCTTTAACAGTTAATGAAAATACATTAATATTTAATTGTTTTAAATCATTTACAGACAAACATTTATGTAAAAGTGTTGATGACACAGTGGAATTAGTTAGTAGTAAGCTTGGTGTTGGGAAATCTACGATTTACAGAGTTGTTAAAGAAGAGAAATGTGGCGAGTTTCAAACAGCACGTAAAGCTCCAGGAAAACCAAAATTTCAATTAGAAAATCTTTTGAAAGAAAGACTTCGAAGGAAAGTGCATGCATGCGTTCTTCTTTAGAAAAGAATTTCCGACAGTAGACAAAGTTCTTGCCACAGTTCGAGATGATAAGGATTACCCTGAAATGAGTCGAAGCACACTATGGAAACTTTTAAAAGAAATAGGTTTTCTATGGAAAAAGCATTCCAGAAAGTCTATTCTAATAGAAAGAATATTGTAGTATGGAGAAGAAATTACCTAAGGACTATAAAAGAAATGAGAAACCAAAGAAGAAATATATTTTATTTAAATGAAACATGAATCAACGAGGGACACAAACCAAATAAATTTTGGCAAGATGAAACTGTTACAAGTCGAAGACAGGCTTTTTTAAATAATTTATCTACTGGTTTAAATCCACCATCAGGAAAGGGGCGCAGACTAATAATAGTACACATCGGTAGTTCAAACGGTTATGCTAAAGGTGGTTTATTGACTTTTGAATCTACTCGTACCAGCGACTACCATGAGGACATGAATAAAGAGTGGTTTCAACAAATTATAGATCTTCTTCCTCAGAACTGTATAATAGTAATGGATAATACAAGTTATCACTCGAGACTTATAGAAAAAGTGCCCACAACCAAGTGGTTAAAAAAAGATTCACAGAATTGGCTAAATTCAAAGAATATTAAGTTCCATCCCGGTTCTGTGAGAAAAGAACTGTATCATTTGTGTTCCCTTCATAAAGAGAAATTCAAAAAATATGAAATTGATGAAATTGCAAAAAATCGTGGGATGACGGTGGTTAGATCACCACCATATCATTGCGAAGTAAACCCGATTGAACTGATATGGGCACAGATAAAGGGAGAAGTTTCAAGAAAAAATAATTCTTTTAAAATGAGTGATGTTAAACAGTTGTTTCTGGAGGCTGTAAATAATGTGAAGCCTGAAAACTAGGAAAAGGCAGTAAATCATACAATTAAAGAAGAAGAGAAAATGTGGAAGTTGGAAAATATTACTGATGAAATGATCGAGCCACTCATTGTAAATATTGGTTGCGACAGTTTATCTTCTGATTTCGATTCTGATTTGGATTTGTAGGTAAGAAGTAGTTTTTATATTAAAATTATTATTTATGAACGTAACGTTGTTTAAAAGTCAAAGTTTAAACCCTTATACCTACATAACACGTTTGACACAATGCTCTTAACATACCTTGTGGAAAAATAAAACATTTTAGAAAAAATTGCACTTTTCTACGCCATCTTTTGGTCCAATTATTTATTTTATTAACTGATGTTTGTAGTTTGCAGCCTCTTCATGATCTTTGCCTATCGCTAGGATGGCAGTATCATCTGCAAATGTAGCTATTATGTCTTGTTTTAGTTGTGATATATCACAAGTGTATAACAGATACAAAGTGGGCCCCAGGACGCTTCCCTGTGGTACTTCTGCTTTAATTTCTTTCAATTCAGAGTATGTTTCATCTTGTATTACTCTAAAGAAGATGAAAAATATAATAATTGTATAGTGGACTTATCTTAAACTCTTGAAGCAACACAAATAATGTTTAATACATAAACACGCCTTACACTCGATAGTAAATTGAGCCTGGATAATAGTCCTTTTTCGGATCCTTTTTTTTTCATTGTATATATATATATATTATATATCTAACAATGTCACGAACAAAAAAAAACCACCTGAGTTGCAGATACTCATTAGCGAAGAGATGTATAAAAGAAAAATCCTTCGAGTTCTTGCTGACGCAGATGGCGTCAGTTGATTGGAAACGTTTTAACGCTTTTGCGTAAGGTGGAAAATGATTATAGAAAGGGGAAAGGGAGTCCAAAAATACGGACAAAGGAAAAATATGTTATTCAGCTTTTAGGAAGTTTAATAAAATGTACAAAAGAAAGCTGTAGGTATATTGTAAATAAAATGAAAAAAGGCAATATTTTCTTCTTATAACAATAATTAAAATACACAGTAAACCATATTAATATTTATTTTAGATAGCAAAATCTTGTTTGGCTATATAGTATGCCTCTCTATATTGTTTTTGTAAATGTTAATACTTTGGGAATCTATAATTTTTTAGGGCATGTTGTTCCAGACTTCTAAGATTCTGTTACTCAGAAAATGTTGTCTTGTTTTGAAATTTTCTTTACATAGTTTTAGCGAATGTCCACGAAGACGGGAGTGAGTATTTAGAGGAGAAGTTCACCAAAGTATTTTTTTATATGTATTTAGGATAGCCACGATTGTATTTGATATTTCAAATCAACGTAGTGTTCTTACATAAATAATAAATACATTTAAATAATCTTCATTTGTATAATTCAACCGGGTTGTCATTATGATGATTTGAAACGTCAAATAATTAAGAATTAAATGCCATATCGCCACAAAAATACTAAATTGGCAATTTTTCTTTTTCTAAAAATGTTATCGATTAATTTTCTAATATTAAAAAGTACCTATAGAATTGCAGTAACAGTAGACACTTCTTTTTATTAGGTATGCACACCCTGTATCTATCTTATTATCAAAAATTGAACTAAGATAAATAGTGACATATATCGCAATATTTTTATGGAAGAAATTTATAGTTGCTCTGTGACCCATTATTAACGGACCACCCTGTATATCAATATATTGTCAAATTCTCTTGATTAGCCTGTCATGATCATACTTAAGAGTAAGTAATAGGCTCGCTCGAGCTGCAGTGTCTGAACGACCCACAATGTGCGAAAAAAGGATGAACAGAGAAATTTACGTGGGAATAATGTTGACTTCGCGTCAACAATCTGCTCGAATCGTCAGCTCCAGTCTTAAGCGAACTAGAGAAAATCATAAACGTGCCAGCCAAAAATTATTGTTCTCCCAGGCCCTCGAATTTAACTGAAGTAACTGAACACGGTGAGCGCGTCGTAGCCGTAGCTACATAATTATATTTCTGAATTCTACGCATAGAAATAATATAGAAGACCAATATAAACATAACATTTAAGCAGAAATTGAAACCTACTGTGCATAAAAACGCGTCTCTGCGCCTGACATCGCAAAATAGTGTGTCTAGAAGCTTGCGCAATATGCATGACTTGTCCCTGTAGTGTTGCCAAATATATTAAACATACCTAACAGAAAAGAATTTTAAATTAATCAATTTTTAAATTATATGATTTAAACAGTTTATATCTACGAAATATCGCCACAAAATAACTTATACACATTTAAATAATCAACTAATAATATTTATGTGTAATTACATTCCCAAAAATATATACAAATACCGTATTAATGTCATTAATACCGTATTTTTAATGTTCAATAAGCGATTCACCTACAAATTCAATATTGACCTGGCAATTGCACTAAAATCCGGTGTTTCAAGGCTATATGACGCTGCCCTTACAGGACCGTTTGTAGTTTATTATTTATGCCGCGTTTGAGAATCCACATCGGATGCATCTGAGATGTAGTAAGTAGTAAATCTTTGATCACGTGATTCAGTATACGTAAATGTAATGGGACAGATGTGTCCGATG